CCTACAAAGTGAGTTCCCTTCCCTAAGCAAACCCTTCCTTGACTTTTTATAGTAATGGGCTCATACAATATTTGTCCTGCTGTAATTGACTTATTTCACTCAGGGTTATGTCCTCCAGATTCATCCATGTTGTGAGATGATTCACGTATTCTTCATTGTTCTTTAATGTAGCATGGTATTCCATATGTGAATGTACTATAATTTGGTTATCCATTTATCTGTTGATGGGCTTTTAGGTTGTTTCCATCTCTTTGCATGTAACAACTTTTGGGGTAAGAACCCATTTCACAGATATGAAAACTGAGATACAGACAGCATAAGTAAACTTACCCAAGATGAGAGTTTGGAGTCAAGATTTTCCCTCAGGCAGTCTGATTCTGCAGTCAATGGTCTTAACCGTTAAACAATATTGTAGTATTCTCCAAACTTGTCTGCTTCAAAAAATACTAATCCAGAGATTGTGATTTGTGTGGCTAGGGACCTTGAATTTTTAAAAGAAACTTAGGTGATTCTAATATGCAGTAAAGTTTGGGGACTATTATGATATGCTTCGTTTGGCACATTAGCTAACAACTGCCACCTGAGAGCTATTCCTACCAATTGGTGATATGACATCAAAAGCGTGCTTTCTAAAATGAAAAATGACAGCTCTACCTATGGGTGGAGTTACAGCATGAAAGGGGAATAGAAAACCAAACTCACTGCTGTCAATTTGACTCTGACTCATAGCAACCCCTCCTGGGGTTTCCGAGGCGGTATCTCTATGGAAGTAGATCACCCAGTTTTCCTTCTGAGGAGCGGCTGGTGGGTTTGAACCGCCAGCCTCTGGTTAGCAAATGCCTTAGGCACTATGCCACTAGAGCTCCTGAAAGGGGAATAGGAAAGGGAATTAGTCATATTATAAGCATTTATAGATGCTCTATTAGAATTAATTCAGTATTATTTTAACTCTCTGACCTATGTATGTATCTATAAAACTGAAGAGCAAGAGGGACTAAGTAGTTGAACCTGTGGGCTTGGGACCATAGTCGCAGGGGACATCAAGCTCAGAAGGCATAACATACTATACATAAACATTGTTCCACCTCCTACTTTGGCGAGTAGTAACTGGGATCTTAAAAGCTAGCAAGCTGCCATCTAGATGCAACGATGGGTCTCTCCTCATCCAGAGCAAAGAAGAATGAAGAAAACCAAAAT